GGATAACGTGCCTCCATGCTGCCAATTAACCGAAACATGCGTTATTTAATTTTAGGAGGGCTCTGAGCAACACTGAGACGGATGCATTCTTTCCGTTATATGAAGCAGCCGTTTAGCCACATTTGCAGTGTCGTGGTCAGGCCTCATCACCGTACATCCGGAGTGACATCATGTGTATAGAAAAGATTCCGAAACTTGCCACCACGATGATGGAACGCCAACGATGGAAGTCGTACGAATATCGTCTAAGGATGAGGACATCAGGAACGGTAAATGGAAAACTGCAATCGGTTTCCATAACCTTCTCAGCTATGGCAGCGGCGCCACATCACTGTCACATGTAGGGTTACGAATCACAAGTCGGGCTCACTGCCGCGAATTAATTGCATCTGTCATCCGTAAACAGTAGGTTTCAGAAAGCTCACCATGTCAAGTACGTTATCCCATCAACGTTAGTAAATGCTACGCGAACCAATAAGGCGGATTTCATACCTAATATATACCTCACACGTGTCTCCTGGTGTCCGTGATGTCACCTTCCTCTTATATACCATTTCATGGTATCCATATGCCTGTATTCTCGATCTAGCACACCGTCTCAGCTAAGTCCTCACGTGTGCACCGTTGCTAGTCATCGACATCAATCTGCCACTACACCTAATGCGTCTTTCCATAGCAGGTACCTGTTGAGGCAGTTCCACAGTCATGGTCCCCCACGTGTTTCAAGGATCCACAAACCATTTCTCAGTGTTCTCGAATCGTGGGTAACGAGCCATTAAGAAGCTCACCCACGTGGTCAGGACTATTTGTGAATGATCTAAACATCATATGCCTGCAGTGTGACCCATAACCCTTCGTGCCACAGTGGATACATCGAAGTCAACGAAACACTGCAATACCAAAGGTTAGTAAGCTTTCGTGTACATCCCATTACTACCTGTGGCGTGCTTACATTCCATCACTCACCATTACCGTTTAGCACCACAACACTATGACACGCATAAGTTTATTTCCAACAACTAATTCCCCCGTACTAATCTCTCTGCATCGTACGTGCCCTGCCGTTCAGGAATGATGCACCTGGTCTGCAGCAACAATTATAATCACAAAGACGAGGTAAGGCAGTCCAAAGAACTGCTGACTTTTCAAACAATTGGTAGATTGCTTGTTTCTTGGAATCAATCAACATGCATGCAACCATGCATGCAATCATCATGCACGCATAGGATTATGGCCTAGCAAAAATCACCGTGGTGATTCTTGCCCACTTGCACACTTCACCACGCCGGAGCCTCTCCCAACACGTACGGCAGCGGCCATGTGCTCATTCAGTGACACATCGTTACAGGTACCATTGCTTTGATATCATTACTTATCTAACAGAGCCGCAGTGGTATGCCCAGTGACACACAATAGCAGAGCGTACTCACTTCTTGTGCACACAATAACGATCAGATATCACTATTGCTTTTAACGTGCCATTCACGAAGCATTGCATTCGTTAACTCCATCGGGGACATTACCTTCGATATCACACCAGCTGCCCCTACCTATTGCTCAGGATCATTCCTCAGCCGACTTAAATATACGGCTGAGTGGACGGTCCTATGTTTAATAACTTACCGTAACGGTAATCCTTCCTTCCAGTCGTATGTGACATCTACTAAAGTAGTGCAGTACCGCTGTCCTTCTTCTATTACATCCATATTCCACCACCTTCGCAGTGTCACTTAACGTGAGAGAAAAACAAATCTGTAGCCACTTTTGCGTGGTGTATAATGCGGCGTGGGTGTGCAGATTGATGTCATCCTGACTCCAGTAATGTGACATCATGGGTTTGGTAATTGCGCTTTTCTTGCCTAACGTTGGCGCCTTTGTACCATCTCTAACTACATCGTGTACGTTTAATCGTTATCGCGATATACTTGCTAACCAATTGACATCAAAAGCTAATTTAGATAACCGTTATGCCACCTTTCTGTATTCATCACTAAATTCATTTCATTTCATGTTGTACGTACCAATGATTACCGGGTACTTGATATCACTATGTGGCTGCGCTGGATGTGCATGTTGACAAGGTGCCTTCTTGTTTCTTACCCACTATCTCTTCCACACTAGCTCCATGAGGCAGTTGGTCGTTGCTGGACGTGACGGGGTGAAGGGTCCTCGTGGCCGTGTGAGGCTCGATTAGCGGTTCAATGCACTCAGTGTACAGCGCACTACGATCCAGCCACCGACTTGTGTGCGCTTGATTCCAAAAATACAGCGTGTTTGTGTTTCTCCGTTAAGGGGTGTACGCCGGCTACCTTGAAAAACCTGCCTTCCATCCACATGCCTCGCGGTCTGATTTCCGTCCTTTTACACTGCATATGGGGTGTGTAGATGAAACTTTAGGTAGTGAAGCAATACCCACCCATGGTCCCTCTGTAGGCGCATGCACCCGGTGGCTAGTCTAACCCAAACACACCAAAGTAATTCCATGCATATGTACACGTATACATATATGCATGCCAAAAATAAATATCTGTAGATATAAATATGCATATATATATATATATATTTACATATGTATATACATCTTCATTTATATCAACATGCATATACACATACATATAAATATCTGTCTATTCAGATATATTTATGCTCATCTACATAGGTAACTTGCCTGTAAAGCCGTGCCTCGCCTCCTCAAAAACAAAAGCTTCATTTACTTATTATCATGTGGTACACACATTTATATACATATATATATATGTATACATATTTATGGTTGGCGGCATCCGATTTCGGATTCGCTTGTAAATAAATAAATAAATAAATAAACTTTTATTCTCGACAATGCGAGGCACACCTGTACAGGCATGATCATGTTTAGCTAACATAGTGTGATCAAAATGAACAAAGAGTACATATTTGGCATAACAGTGAATGTAAGTGTATGGGTGCATATATGTATGCAATTGTCTATGAATGTAGCTTGTATTTTTGCATGTGCCGCAGAATTTTTGATTGTTTGTTATCGGTAGGAATGTGAGAATAAGCGATTGACGTCCGTGGGTTGGATACCATTTTCCGGATGTCCATGGGCCAGTGACTTTATTTTGTGGCGAGTCACATCCGCCACGTCACAGTGTTGATAAGCAGACATTTGTGGCTTTTTATAGGGAGAACGCTTGCCGGGCGAAAACCCACCACGTCCTGGAACACTGCCGCCGAACTATTTGCTGGAACGGGTTAAACCCGAACCACCCAGCTGGCACCACGAGGAGGTTGTTCGGCTAGCCAGTCAATGTGGCCCCCACCTATCCGCAGGTAAAGTGGATTACCTATGATAACTTCCTTTTCTGAGCATCCCTATGTGCATGGTTGACAACATACAGAAAAATATATCCGAAGTTGACAAAGATTTACCAACAGTGATCATTTTCCATTCCTGTATTGACGCGTCCATAAAGGGGTCATTTGAAAACAGCATGCAATGATTATCATTTATTATTGGTGTTAGTGAAGGGGATTAATTACTTGTGTCCTTCTAGGTCGATTTCGTTGCGAATTGCTAAGCAAACAGGAATAATTTGGAAGGCCTTCATACGCCCAGCTAAATATTTTACCTTCATATATTAAGTCATGAGCTGTCGCCGTATTCTACATTATATATATATTTGTATATATAGAGAGAGAGCGCGTAGCTTTGTATGCCGTGTAATGGACCTTTTGAAATGTACGTACGTACACATACATATCAGATACATATATGGGTTCACGTATGCATACGCATTACATATATATATATATATATACCGCTATGTATATATGTATATATATATGGACATATATGTATATATATAATTATACTTATAAATAAATATATACATCTATACACACATACGTTGAACATTAACGCAGCTGCTTGCAAATTTATATACGGAAATAGGTATATGTGTGTAAATACACACATATGCATTTCAGAATCAGGCGTACAATTACCCCAGTTTATACGCAGTTAACATATTTATCTCGCAATATGAACATGTTCCACACGACCCTTACTTGCCTAACACTTCGCAACAAAATCAACCTAACAACAAACCGTTCCCACAATTACGTATTCCCTTTCACTGATACCAATAATTCATCCTAATCACCTCATGATCATTTCCGAGTACCCGTTTACAGACGATGCATTACGGTAACATAATATAGCGGTTACCATACATTCCGTATTAAATTTGGTTATCTCATTCCGTATTTCCTCAACTATGCACATAGTGATGCCCTCGTCATCCCCGTTACTCCTTTCGCACTCCTTACCATTTAGCAATTCACATTGACTTGCAGGTTACCTTCAAGGCATCCAAAGTAAGTTTCACACCTATTAATTACGTGTTTCCCATCATTAGGAATAAACTTGGTACATGTCTTTCTTTAGAATCTCGCATTTCATGTCCTCTGTGAACATTGTTAGTGCGACTAAACTTCCGTGCAGCTTTCTCAACCTTATATCTGCACCATTGTTAAAAATGATTCCTGTTTACAGTAGACGGTTAGTTGCGGTTTCAATAACTGCAACATTTTAAAGCGTTACGTTATCAGAAATACCGGCATATCTGTTGAACGCATTTTCTGCATATTCCCATCCGTTGATTTTCCGCCACCATCTCGGCCTTCCTTATTTCACTAACTTTACCTCAGTAAAATGGTTACACATGATGTCCAATGTAGTACTACTAAACGATTTATATTAATTTATGCTACCTATTCATAGCATTATGAAGGCAAACTATTCACGCCGCAAAATGGGTGTACCAATTGGCACCACAGAAATTAAAATTTAACCGCGTTAGTGCAATAAGAGGGTCCCACTACATTTTTATTATTGGCTACAGAGAGTTGTAATATGTTCCGTAGCGCAGGTTCGTGGTACCGACAAGGACTGCGGATGTAAACGCATATACGACGACGATGCTCCGATGAGGCGAATACCAGAACGAACGAACGGAGCGGAAACACGTGTATTCGGCGACACGACAGGAGCAAGTGTTTTTCGGTACAAGCGTAGATAAAACAAGTAGCTTTGGCAAAGGCGACGCGGCGATGGTTTTACCGTTTGTTTCGACATGAATAAGATACACATCAAGATAAGAAAGGGAATAACGCGGGCACTAAAAATACCGTATGGTTTAAACGAACCAGTGTGCTTTCATTTGCGTTACACTGCCCCTTCTCCGAGAGGCACTGTCCTCAGTGCCCAAAGAACAGATGCAGTCGCTGCCAACATATGTGCTTCCACAGCACATGTGATCAGAAGTCTGTATGGTGGGCCAGGACCGTGCAGAATGGGTAGGGGTAGCGCGCTATGCAACATCCGGTGCGAAAATGCAATGAACGGACCAGCCGCTTCGAAAAACAAAGTTAAACTGTGCGTTATAGACGGAGACACAACTCGTAATAGCAAATGCATCGTGACAATATCTGTACGACGCGTGGCAAATAATGCTAAGCAATGAGGCAGAGGTTGGAGAAAAGTTATCGAATCACTATGCGGTGGTCGGCGGGAAATATCTACTAAAATGGACGGTACTGAAGGGGAAAATGGCTTCGCTGTCGACTCCACCGTGTAGGCACAAGTGTTGTCGATGTCAGGATACGACGGAGATAAGTAAGCGAGTTCAGGAAAAATAACTGCTTCGTCGTAGTGCGAAGTTATCTGTGTCTGCACGACGCAAGCTGTGGCGAAAGATATTACCGGAGTTGACAGTTCGGTACAATCGGTAACTGCAGTACAAATCGCTTCCTCCCTGGGAACTTGGGATGACGATGAAGCAGTTTCCCAAACAATCAAATCTTCGATCTCAGAGACGAAATGCGGTAGTATCGCGATGGTGTCCTGCGATCCATAGATAGGAGCAAGGTCATCCGGCATTGGCAAAGCGACATCCACTTCCGAAAGAGCAATGTGTTCGGTACCGATCATAAGATTCGTATGCGACACCGCTTGTGAGGTAACAGAATTCCACTCACCGATCGCGGTCGCAGCTTTCGCGCGGGACAGGAAACTGGCGTGGTTTCTCCGTAGGAACAACCTGCAAAGTGCGGTAATGATACGTTCAAATGGCGCATCGACTGGAACTTGCATTGTACGGAACAATTGTACCGCCTCCAGCCCCAGGTAGCTGATAAAACAGGGGCCCAGCAATTGCTCTGGAACTCCGGAATAATAGTTCATCATTCCCCAATACCAATCTTCGAAATCGTTATCCGGGTGATAAACTGGCGGTTGACGAGGTAAATTCTGTGCCGAATTATTTCTGTACATCCTGCCCGCGACGCCAATTTGTAATATGTTCCGTAGCGCAGGTTCGTGGTACCGACAAGGACTGCGGATGTAAACGCATATACGACGACGATGCTCCGATGAGGCGAATACCAGAACGAACGAACGGAGCGGAAACGCGTGTATTCAGCGATACGAAAGGAGCAAGTGTTTTTCGGTACAAGCGTAGATAAAACAAGTAGCTTTGGCAAAGGCGACGCGGCGATGGTTTTACCGTTTGTTTCGACATGAATAAGATACACATCAAGATAAGAAAGGGAATAACGCGGGCACTAAAAATACCGTATGGTTTAAACGAACCAGTGTGCTTTCATTTGCGTTACAGAGTACGCCATTAAATCCTGGCTCAGAGTAGTAGAAAAACAATTGATCAAATGATTGCAATAGTAAAATAGTATTTTCATATATTCGGACGCATTGAAGTAGGTAGGTAGGTAAATGTGTTGCTAGGGTTTGTAAACGTGTTAATTTTTTCTTTGAATGTCTTCGTTTGCGTCGCCTGTGGCTGAAGCAATATTTGCAGTCTGTGGATTTGTTAAGCTTGACAGTTTTAGCTTGTAGTTGAACTTGCTTACAGTGGCTAGGAAAGCACTGTGGCACCACATCAGCAGCCGTCAGCTGTAACGCATTGAAAAGCGCCCTGGAATGTTTAAGTGAACCGTTGCGGTTAATAGCATTATTTTGCATTAAGCAGCTTAGCTACCTGGGACACTTGTTAAACTGTTCCATTATTATACCCACTTGACACGATTGTACTGCTCACATCTTGTTTATATAAACCCGTTTGGGAGGAGTTAATCGTGTTGGCGGTGACCGAACAAACGTGCTTCTCCGAGCTTTGCTCGTTCTCACATCGTCCCGGGTCCGGTGCTGTGGCTCGAGTGCCTGTACAGAAAGTGCGGGCGCTTAGAGTACTCGTTTGTCGCGAGTAGGATGGTGCCGTCTGCCAGCACATCGATTTGCTTTCAGCGCTTGCTTTCTTAGCCCACATCCGTAAGCATGTCGAAGAATTATATCACCTTTAGACGTCGCAGGCAGGCTGTTTTCAATGAAGCAAAAGCACGCGCACTCGCCAACAGTTGAAAACTATTGGGACGCTGTCAAACCCTACTGGCATCCTTGTCAGCCAGCAGTTCCCCCGACGACGATTGCGAGCAATGATACGTTGTCCCTGGTTACTTGACCAACACTCTCGAGCGATCTCTCTGTCGTTACATTATATGTTAGCTGAGTCTCTAAGTAGTCGGATTGATTCCCAAAACCAGCGTCTAGGGTGACGCCTCGTCTAAAGGGCTTTGGTCCACCATGGCGCGTTGATCGTCAGCAGAAAGCACTCGCATTTCTGCCGTCGCCTAAATTAAACTGCATAAATCGCCGACGAATAGAAACTGATTCTGCGCGATGCATGCGTTTCCAAGCTGGAAGATCTCCTGGTCCAGGTGAGATCTTCAGAAGTTGCACCTGTGTTATTTTGCACTCACACGGTTGAGAATATTTGGACCATGGATAGTGACATCCAATATCCCATGCGATCGTCGGATCATGCGAGTAACCGTTCTATCCCAGCTTATGCGATACACACTTTAGTAACTTTCGATCACGTGGACGAAGTCGCCCCAACGAAACTACCTCTGGTTTGCCTCGAGCCCACCGTCCATGCTTTATCAAGAGGTACGCAGGCACTAGCTTACTTGTATAAATAACTAAATAGATAGTTTATTCTCAGATGTATAAAAACACACCAAACCAGGCATGATCAAGGTTTATAGGCAGTTGTGTATCACAACGATAATTTGAGTCGAATAGTGCGTAGTGCAAACGGTCAAGGTACTATAAGTGCATGAAATGGTGAATGTAGACGGCGAGTATCCTATTCTTGCACATGCTGGGCAAAAGTTGAAATATGAGCCAAGTCGACTTGCCAGTATGTAGTCGTGAGCAGTGACTTTATTCAGTGACGTGTCACATCCGCCACGTCTCAGTGTTGTTATATCCATTTGTGGCTTTTTATAGAGAGAACGCTTGCCGGGTGCAAACCCACCACATCCTGCAGCACTGCCATGAAGCATTTTGTACACTAACGTATAAATGGCGAAGCGGCTTGACGACTGGCTTCATATTCGCTTATTCGCAGTCGAATGGCTTCCAATTTCCTCTGTTGATTGGACAGATAGTTTGAGCAGAGTCTCCATGATTGTTGAGGCCGATTGACGATGGGGACCTCACGAATAGTTGTCTTGTTATGTGCCCAGATGGACATAATTTCAACCTTTTTACTGTCTGGATTTTTCAGATGTGTAATTTGCGGGAGTGCGAAGAGTGCCCAGCTCTCCATACTTAACAACGGTTGTGGTGATTGCAGTTGCGGCCATTTGGTGTACAGCCGTGCTCCATGCATGTCCTTGTCGGTTATTGCATCCGCCTTGGGCGAAAACTGTTTCTCAGTCCGATCCCAGACCTCTAAGAATTTCCGGACTTCGGAGAAAAGGGAACGTGAGGGACAACCGAGAGAAGGCCGCCATAACAGGCGTGGAGTTACACATTGTTAATTTTTTATGCTACAACATTTGGGGGTGAGACATGATCAAGTACACTGTGCAACAATGATTGTGCTTAAAGTGCCTTTTGACTGTCCTATAGAATCAATAGCCGTAGGGGCAGATTGCTAACGTCTGCGTAGAGACAAGCGCATTGTACCAGTAAATAATCCACGATTATCAGCTTAGTATGAGACAACGCATGTGTGGGAAGAGAGGGAAGAAAGTTAGAAGGCTGGTGATCGCGTGGTGCATGAACAGCAAGTAGCTAGCCTAGTACGATAGGCAGCGCAGCATAGGAAAGTTAAAAAATAAATAGTTTGTCGCGAGAGAGATCTAAAGGCCAATTGGCGGTAAGGCAGCGGAAAGATTGGATGCAGGTATTCAACGGAAATAAAGGTTCTTGAGATACGGAGTGGCTCCTAACAAGCTCTGGATAAACGCAGATGCATGGGGCCTACGACCACTAGCTGCTTACTAAACAGAGGTGCTATGTATAAGATGGTCGACGGATGGTGGCGCTAGGAAAGACTATCAGTGGCAGGATGTAGCCATTCAAATAAGACGCTTAGTCACTAGTGTATGCCTACAGGATCACGGAATGCATCAACAAGCCAGCGGAGGTAAGTTTTACAGAAATTCCAGGAGAATGTATGATAGAGAGACAAGGAGTGTATCCTAGCAGGTTCAAGAGCTGCGCAGAAGGGGCCTTGAGCCTAGGGCGAATCGCTACAAAGAAGAAGAGCGACAGATAGTGGCGTTAGGAGAGAGAGTGTCAGTGGCCAGCAAAGGCATTCGGATTAAGCCTTCTAATTACCAGTGGATACCTACAGTGACAGAATAAGTCGACCAACCAGCAAAGACATGTGATGCTAGCAACCCAACAGAGAAAGGGTTGGAGAGATAGGGAGCGGCTCCTAGAGCAGATGTATGCTACCTACAATGACTCGCTGCAGCTGAAAAGTGGTGACGTAGGTAATATGAAGAACTGATAATGGTACTAAGCGAGTGAGAGTATCGACGGCTAGCAATGGCATTTATGTGAAGCCTTCTAGTTGCTAGTAGATACCTACAGTGTCCCAGCTTAAGTCAGCAAACAGCAAAAGTACATGATGCAGACAGTCCCAAAGAACGAAGGTTGGAGCTAGAAGAGAGTGGCTCTTAGCAAGCTCCGGATATGCGCAGAGATGCTTGGAGCATACGACCACTAGTCGCTGCTAAATAGAGGTGCTGAGGTTAAGAGGATCGACAGCTAATGGCGCAGTGAAAACTTTCGGTGGCCAGCTGTAACCCTTCCATAAAGCAGGCTGGTCACTGGTGGATTCCCACAGTGTCACAGAATACAGCAACATGCCAGCGAAGGTAAGTGATACAGACATTCTAAAAGATTACAGGATGGAGAAACAAGGCGTGTCTCCTAGTAACTCCGGAGATGCTCAAAGATGTATGGAGCCTACAACGAATCGCTGCAGAAAACGTGCTGAAGATAAGAGGAGCGAAAGATAATGGTGCTAAGAGAGAGAACAAGTCACTTGTTGCGAGGTTTCTTGTATACTTCATTGCCTTCGTGTTACCAGTACCTTCGCCGCTAACATCCTGCAAATGCTCACTGTCCCAATTTTGAAGACACTATTACTAAGTACCTAACTAAATATTTATTTATTTATACGTATTGCGACTATTAAGGCCGCGCGCTTTCAAACACTTGCAATTGGCTTTGATGCTCTAGTCTGTTGTCTCTCTAACGAGCAGTAGAATGGACCGCTTCCTGTTTCACGCAGCCCTGGACCAACTGTAGTTGCCACCTTGCTGGACGTTGGCTACAGAGGACCGTGCGTTCAATAGACGTGGAGTAGAGCAACGCAAGGGAAACCGCACTGGAGTGTTCAAGTGAATCTCGGCGGTTAAGGGCTTAATTTTACATTAAGTACATCCGCTGAACGGAACCCTTCCTACTATACACAGACGCGAGTGACGTGGTACTTAGTGCTGTGCTGTCCCGAAAGACCACCTGTTAGCAGGCGACAGTTGCTTATGCAAATCAACGTTTGATGGTAGGTAATGGGAAACAAAGCACGACAAGACGCCAACTACTTTCTGTAGTCAAACTACTGAAACACTTTCCATCCTAACTGTTAAACAGGCCACTTTCTGTCCGGTTGGATTACCAAGCTCTTCAGTGGCTACGCAGTTTATGAGGTCCCGAGGGGCAATTGACCTGGTGGCAAGATGGGTTGCGTGTACGATTATACATGTGACTACCGGCCTGGTACCAGGTTAGCCAATGAAGATGCGATGCACAGTTATCAGCAATCCGTGTGGTAAACGTATTGTTGCAGGTAACGATTGCTGATACAAGATGGGCGCAGGAAAGCGTTGATGCTGCTTACTTAGCGAATATTACAATGGTCAGGTACATGAGTCACAGATAACAAATGGCACAGAAATGCCAACACTTTCACCAGACGAACGGACTTTCGGGGTCACCGGAGTAGTCTTAAGGTCATTAATGGGATTCTATACAGCAGTGACAATGCGGGACCGAAACTAGCAACACTGACAACAAACGTGGCTGTAATACCGCACGGTATCCATCTCGAATTAGGTCAGGCAAACTAACTAAAAACAGAGGCTGCAGTGCGTCTAAGTTACTTCTGGCCGGGAATCCACTCAGATGTTGTGAACCTCTGCAACAAATGTCAGCACATTTCCCCTGTCCAACCTTATTTGTTGTAACCTTGT